AGGTGGGTAAGAAGTCTCACGTCTTTTCAGATGACCACATTGATGGTTTACTAGTTTCTAATACAATGAAGAGTGGCAGGGTGATCATGGGAATGAATTAAGGTGATGATGCTAGATTTATGACTATGGATGGGATTAGGTTGAGACAAGATAGGTTATGGTATGAGAAATCAACCACGACACACAACTGTGTAGAGAAACCAACCACGCCTTACACAGGGCAATCCTACAGCCATAGGGCCAGTGTCACTAATGTACACCTAACTAGACGTTAGTAAATCGGTTATGAAAATTATAAGTCGTTATTATATCCGTATTACCAAATGTATATGTAATATGTCCCGTTTCACTACGCGGCCCCGGGTTCGATTCCCGGTCAAACCAAGACTATAGTGAGTGTTTTCTTTGCAATATTTCTCAGGAATATATGATGACGATGTGTGACGATGAGAAAATTCACTTCTCAGGTTGAGAAAACTAGTATACGGCATGGGGATAGTTACGTGCTAACCACACGAACCCCCATAACCCATGTCCGCGAGGCAGGGACGTCGCCGGTAGGCCTTAGCCCGTTCACGGGCTGTCGCGCCTAGTAGATACATACGTACAACCTGTTCCGTATTAACAACTTTTTCCGGTCCTCGGTTTATTTGATCATCAGATGACCCCTTATGGATGACCTACAAATTCTTAAATAGTCGTAGATGTAAGGCAGTTAATTGAAGACTTTTTGGTGAACATATGTTTACTCTCTAAAGAATCATAGACTATTGCGCCATCAGTTTATTTGATTGTATATTGTATACAACAATTTTTTAAAAAAGAGTTAAGCACAAAAACAAATAATTAATTTCAAATTATGTTAATACTAAAAAATGTTATATTTTATGTGAATGAACTTACCTAACATTATAAAAGCAAAGCAATACTACGTTCCGTTGAACTTTCGCTAGACGTTTACGAAATACTAATATTGTTAATCCCAGATTTCTTAAGAAAGGGAGCTGGGCTGTTCCAATTGTCTTAGAGCTATTGGCTAACTTAGCTATCCCAGATCGAAAAAAAATATTATCAAATATGCCTAATTTTGAACCATCTGCTATAAATTAAACGTGGAGAATCGTATTTAAAACTTCAAATTTATAGTCTTCTCCATTTTGCGTATGATCGGACTTCTACCAAAACTGACCAACCAGGCGTTATCTGTTTCTAAAGAGACTGAGATGGCCCATTCACTTTAATGAAAGCTTAGCGAGCGTTTAAGTTTGGTACAAATGCATCTTTTTTCTAACGGACCGTTAATAGTTCCTAAATGCCTCGTTAGTGTGTTAACAAACGTTGGTGAAATCGGCCCTTAGGCTCCGTTTACTTGAACACTGCCTTTCGACCCGGCGCTCTGAGGCTGGCGAAAGTTACACTACTTACTACAATGAATTAAAAACAGACAGAAAAAACAACACAAACAAAGCATATCTGCTTTGTATACCTGTAACTCAGAAAAAAAACAAATGATCGATTTTATTCCCCTGAAGAGAAACAAAAACTAAGGTGAACCACAACACGCTCTGAAGGGCATCTGCTTTTATAGAAAGACTACGCCCACAAAACTGCAGACATTCCTCACTGAAAGGTTGAGACGTGGGTTTGCGATATTCAAAAAGTTATGGTGTGCCATGAGCGATGTGAAATGTATTAATATAATGGGAATAAAGTAGATATCAACGTCACAATCAACGAATACAAGTTTTGGAAGATTTGAACAAAAGGTGTTCTAAACGAAGTCTCTTAAGGACTGGTCATTTATCGAATCGATACTTTCAAGTAATATCTAAAAATATGGTCATATCAACTAAAGATTATATTTCACGTATCAGAATATTTTGTTAGACTCTTGAGAAATGAGTTTGGGATTCGCTAGATGACAATCACTGTGAATCTATATTATTAATTTCCAATTTGGGCAAAGAACCGTAGTTAGATATTGCGGGACACAAATGAGATCGTATTGAGAGCTCCATAGGAAAATAAATCCTCGAAATATAATAAAAACACTAATTCTGGTGGAATAACTTTTTCTAAAAATATAAATTAATGTTAAAAATTAATTATAAAATTTAACAAAATTATAGTGTTAAATAGATTTTAATTTCCTTTCCATAAATGTTTCTTTAGTTTCTTCATTTTTAAATACAAACGTTTAAGTACAACAGACTATTTGATTAAAACTTATTTTACAGATACACAAGATTCCGGCTATAGTGAACTCAGATTTAGTGAATCCTCGGTTATAGTGAACTTAAGTGACTGGCTCCGTTTCACTTACATTTCAATTAAGCATATGAATATTTGGACATAGGGAACCTGAACCTCGGTTATAGTGAACGCAGGAAATACAACGTCCTGGAAATTAATTCCCACCAGGAAAGTAATGTATTATTGTCTCAGTACTACAAGATCCAACAATAGTCAGCTTGGAAAAAATTTCGGCCAACGATGATAACCGATTTCTCCCCTGAGGTGAAGGTAGCGGACATGGGGACCTTAGAGATGACCTTTTCACCCATTTTCACTCAGGAAACTATGGCAGTGTCCTGTGTGACTTGAAACTGGCGGCGGCGATGCGCGATTGCTTGCTTCAGTATCAAGCTTGGTGTTACTTGATATTTCGTGGGACGAAGCGCGTTGAGTTCTACGTAGGCGACAGGAAGCACGCGACCGCCACAGCCCGACGATATTCGCCGCGCGGAAAAGTGATTATTAAAAGTCATTAACAGCTTGCCCCCATCCCTCTATCGAAATCATATCGATTATTATTGGGTGAATAAAAGGGCCTTCGGAGAGTGGAGCGGTGCAAGTGTGCGAGTGGATCAGTTCAAGAGGCATTGAAGGGGGTAAGACTGCATTACGATACTTAGACACAGGACAATGCAGAATCAAGTATGTTGAGCTCGAACTTTGGAGAAGGATATAGAGAAATTACTAACGAAAAATGTACGAATCAAACAATTAAAAGCAATTATTGTTTAAGGACAAATTCAGATATTGAAATTTTTATGTTCGTGCCGTTATTTTTTTGCTGTGTCTCTGTATTAATAAAATCAACCATTATACAGGAATTGTATTCAGTTTCGTCAACACCTCATATAGTGAACCTCTGATATAGTGAACCAAAAATATTAGTCTCTTCACTTTAACCGGAGTCGACTGTACAATCACTTTTTTTATTTCTTCCAATAGTTTGTGACTTTTTCGGGGTACCTAACCCCCAGGGATGGACGCCTAAGCATCTACTTATTTTGCTTGTAAATACATTCGGCCATGTTACTTGTATATGTTTATGTTGAAAAGTGTTACGTTACGTTTCCATAGTCATCTTTCCACTTGCTCGCAGCGCGATTTCGCCCACGATTGTAGGTGGGCGCTGGCGCTCAACCGGTAGCCCGTTCGACCAGTCGCGTTGCTAATCCTCGACCGCCCGCACAGCGCAGGTGCCAAGTGAAAGTGTGCAGCGCGTTTGGAGTACAGGAATGTGGGACAGCGTTCGCTAAAAACAAGTGCATCGGGCTTGGCCGGCTCAGGTGGGAGGCCTCGACGAAGTCCTAGCAACGCCACGCAGACGAGGAATCTCGCTTTGTCCAGGCAGCTATATTTCAAACATAATCCCTTCTCCTTCAGTGAGGACATGCAGCCTAAAAGAATCCACAAATCCAACCTTCATGGTGGTCACTTTAAATATGTTATATGGCATGTTTGTTTTTATTTCCTAATTTGCATATACCATCTTATAACTTCAACGTAGCTAATTAAAAATTGAATTAAAAATTAATCACAAATATATTAGTGATTTCATTTGAACTCTCCGCCATAAACCGCTCAACCCTGTGGAATCGTAAGTACTACAAGGTATTACAACTTGTGGCGCTACATCAGCACATACTTTCTCGCATTATTTTATAAAACTTTCATTTTTTTTAAATTTAGAAAGTTTGATGACAATGAAACCTGCACCAGTTTTAAGCATTCTTTGCCCTATCCGAGACAAAATTAAAGAAAAACATTGGGGTCCTTGGTGAGAAAAAATATAAACTACTTTTACTTCAAGCAAAAATTAGGCGAAAATTATATTTTAAAAATAATTTTACATGACCATTTTAAAAAAGATCTAATTTTTAGAACACTTTTTGTTTAGGAAAATCTCTGTCATCATTGCAATGTTAATTTTTTGCACTTTTCGACAATACAGAGAAGAACTACGTAAGTACGTAGTAAAGGGAAGGTAAAAAGGAGGAGGAGTTTTAATAAAGTTCAAATATTACTTATGTATTTTTCAATTACCCATAATCAAAACCAGAAAAGCAGAGTATTGTATCTGCATACAAGCGAATACTTATCAAGTAAAGATTTTAAAATTTGATAGAAATGGTAAATAATGGAAATTGTTTTCGAGTGTTTCAATAATAATAATAATAATAATAATAATAACAATAACAATAATTACAAAAATATTAATTTAATAATATAACCTATTCGGTTGATGTAATAATAGAACTTAACTCATGAAATATATGGATTCTTGAGCTATTCCCTGAATGCACAAAAACACTATTTAATAAAAGATGGTAAATATGGAAGGATGTAATTTTGTCAGGCATACAGGTCGAGAACTACCACAATTTTCAAATACTTTATGACGATAATAGGGTTGTCATTCACGAAATTCTATTCACGCATCCATTCACGAAAATCCTTGGTCAGCTTGGCCGAAGTAAAATCTGTTCTGACAATAGATCGAAAAATCAGTGGCCAGAATTCAATACTATTTTCTAAATTCTTGACAGTACTTCCTATGCCGTTAACCTCCGGTTTATATTCCTGATACTGTAGAATTATTCCTCTGGAAAACTTATAATTACATCTAACCATTCGCTTCATTTTAATTGGTTGATTGATGATTCCAGGCGCGTCAACGTCTAAGGTCATTAGTCCCGTAAGTGTAGCGCATGTTTTCATCGCGGGAGATGGCTGTAATCTTCCCATGCTGGCTTGTGAGATCCGGCGACGACTTACGCCGGCTTGCTGGAATTATCCCCAACCAGCAATCTCTCACGTGAGGGGCACCGCCCCAGCCAGGGCAAGCTCTAAGCTCCCGACTGGTCTCCCGACAAATGTAATAGTGTAGTGCACGTAAATGTGTGTAAGTAAGGGGTGAGGATAGAACAAGGAAGAGGAAGAAAAGATCGCGCGTGGTTCGTGACCCATTTGTTAGGGTACTGCTCCGGCATTCGCCTGGTATTGATCGGAGAAACCTCGGAAATCTACCAAACAGAGAAGCTAGAAGATGGAATTATCCTACAGACAGCGGCTGAACGTGACCTAGCTTACTGCGGCTGGTGCCGAAAATCCTGACACAGTCGGTACTCGAACACTAAAACCTCCTGGTCAACTTGGATGTAATTATGAAATACTATGATTTAGTTTCTTCGCATTAAAAATGATTAAAAAACATTGAAACAAAACAAACAAGTTTGATGGTACATGTAATACACTTCTACTATTCAAGCGTCTACGTTATTAATAATAAATAATAACTCCATTCACTATTAAGAAGCTGAGTGAGTGTGTACGAAGGAATAATGAGGTGAAGGGAAAGTACAAAGAGACAATTTTTCAATTTAAAAATTATAACAAGCGTTTGTTATTACCTGCGTCGCACATCTATAAATTGTTAATGGTATATTTTGTGAGCTATACGGAGCGTCAAAAGAACAAATCTTACAAAGAATGGGAGAAATGATGTTTCCAGCAAATTTTCTCTCGAGTCAATAAATTTCATTTTGTAAAATTATGTTTTGGAAAATTAAATTAATTTAATAATTATATAATACAATTATCTTGATAATAGAAACATTGAAATAATGCGAACATTTTATGCAACGAAAAGGGATTTGACTGATTGTGGGTGGCATCAATATCTTTTTAAGACTTCTCGTTAATGCATCATCTTTCCAATTTAGAATTACTAATAAACAATGTAGGAGGGTATTTTAAGAAGATAAACTTCATATTAGACGAGAACATTCAATTCTGAAAAACAATTAACATATTAAAATGGTAATATCTTATTAAAATAATTTTTATATAAATATATTTCATCGCTATTTTTTATGGAAGTTGGAGAATAAACAGTGCAATTATTCAAGTACAAGTATTCATTAAGTAACGTTACATAAATCTCGTCTAAATTTTGGCAACGCCCATGAACATCTGATTGGATAACAACCTTCGCAATCATCTACTCTCAAAAAACCTGTTCTGAAGCCTTACGCACGATGTCGAGAAAATGTGTGTTTCTTTTAAATCAGAGGTTCAATCATGTATGGGAGTGCTTAATACGTATTGAAGGTTAATGGCTGGCACTGACAAAGCGAATAGGTGTAATCGACTGGTTTAGATTTCGATTTATTTAGTCAAAAATCAGTAAAAACTGTATGTGACATACGGGGGAGAAGATAATCTTCAATCATGTTTTCTTGAGTTCTAGAATCCCTTCCCATCATTTGAACTATAAGTAGTTGGATGATGAGCAAAAGTTAAATATAAATAAATAAAAATGAATTTAAAATAAAAACGAGATGGTGGATGGATGAGACGGAGACTTCTTTTTGCTTAAATGCTTTTCGTTCTTTTATGAACAGTTTTGCTATTTAATATATATTTTATTACTATTTCGATTACATTGAAAATAAAATTAAGCTTATTTCCTTTCTTCCTTTTTAAAAATATACTGAATGTAAGGAAACCACGCCTCCTACTTATGAAATAAATTTCAGTGTCAAATATTTATCAATGTAAAAGAAAATTTCTAATTAGTGATTTATTCGGGTGTTACGAAAATTTATTGTTTTATTTTCTTTATTCTATTTTATTTTATTTCTTTTTAACCACAGTGGATTAGGTGATACACGCAGATCCGATGCTTTGTTTAGTACAATTATGACAATACCTGAAAAATTAAGTATGTGTTAAAGCTTTTGAATTACTATTACATAAAATAGAAAGAAATTGGACCAATTATAATTTCAATTAATAATTATGAACACATGAGAGCTCTTGGAAATAAATAACTCGCAAACACAAAACGTAAAATCTAGAGAACTGTTTCAAACACCATTGCAAATTATTACTTCGTATACAGATTAAATAAATACTAAAATAATACAATTTTAAAATGTTAAACATTACAAATTAACAAAAAATACTAAAGGCTTTAAATGTTCTAATACTATTCCTTGATAACAATGCCAGTAATAGTTCTTTGAATTAAAATATTTCTGTTTAAATTTTTAGTCAAATATAGACATATATCAATCTTTAATACCACCAGAATAACATTTAAATTAATTATATAGTTTATTATATATTCAAACAGCTCTGTAAATAAGTTATTTTAATTTTGTTGATTATTTTATTTTACGTTTTTCTGAAATATTTTCTCAGAGAAAAGGTTTCAGTGACCCTCCACGAATACTATGCATTATTTTCTTCCCCTTTCCTTCAAATACGGTGTAATATTTTAATTAAAAACTAAGGATTTTGTGCGCGGAGTTTGTTTTGCGTTCGAAAGAGCATCAGAGACGAGTCGCGTAAGCACAAGCACTGCGCCCATCCTGCCACCGCGCCGCCGCCACCAGCTTCCGCCTGCCGCCTGTAGAGAGTGCGCGCGTCGTGATGGCGGCGTCCGAGTGGTACGTCGTGTCCAGCTGGTAGCCGCGGCAGCGACGGTGGCAGCGGCTGCGGCGGCGGTGACGGTGGCAGAAGCCTTTGAACGGGTCCGTATGTCCTCCGCGATCCGTGAACTCGGCGATCAGATTGTGTCGGGCGGCGAAAATGCAGCGGCTTGCGCCCGGTCGCTTCTGTCCTGACGATTGTGTATGCGCGCGTGGCGGTGTAGCGGGGCCCTGGCCCGCCGGCATATGGTTGACTTTCTCTCGTTTCTAGGAAGCGGCGCGAGCGCGACAGCGCGCTCTAGCGCACGACGTCCGTGAAACGCCACCGATACAAACGGGATTGCTCGAACCCGCGTTCTCGCAGGCATTTCCCCGCAAAATGTTTGCTTCGAATTACGCGCAGCGCTCAATTTCGAACGACGTGAACTCGCGTTCGAACTAGCGCGTTGTGCGTTGCGAAGAGCGTTCACGCCGCTTCTAGAAGGAACGTCTTCACGACGTCTAGAAGGAAGCTGCAAGCACCGCACTGGCCTGCGGCGATCGGTCGCGTGGCGCGCGCCGGAGAGAGGAGTTGCGAAAGTGAGGGGAACGGGGCAAGAGCGGGGCGGGAGCGGGGCTCCTCGCCTCCACGTGGGCGCGCGGCGTGCCCGCTCCGTCCCTTCCATACCGCGAACCGCGACCGGAAGCGGTGGGGAGATTCTGACGCCTTGCGTCGCTCAGGTGTTGCCCTGTATATGCACGCCTTGTTGCCCAACAAACGGGAACTTCAACGTTGACGTAAACAACTTCCAACCGGTTCTTGCCGTGACCTATCTTTCAGAGATTTCACCGAGAGCCAAAAGAACAGGTGGGGAAGATGGGAATCCCAGTAGTCCAGTGGAATTCTCGAATGTGTATGATCGTAATTAGCTCGTTTATTTTATGCCTCTCCTGATAATTGGCAAATCCAGCGACTTGTATTTTTAATACTCGACGCATCGCGGAAAACAGGATCGTGCATTGTAGTGTTGCATTCCGTACGCCTTATTGATGTCAAGAGTGCCTGAGAGTACACACGATTTTCAGTAGGAGTCGCGATATCATTATCAGCTACTTAAATAAAGGTCGGTGGCCAGCGGTTATTAACGGGCCGCCGGTCGCGTCAATCGCCGAGTTTCCGCGCGCACTTCCCGCCCCACCTCGCGGCGCGGGCTTTCCGCCCGCCTTCCGCCACCGCGCCTGCGTCAGGCGGCACCGCGGCTGGCGCGCCTCTGTGCGTGAGGCGGCGGTGCGGGCGCAGGCCGCCCGCACAGCTTCTCGCCCCGCCCCCGGGCCCCGCCTGCCCCGACCCCGCCGCAGCGCCGTCGCCATGGCCACCCGCCGCCACCTGTCCCCCTCGTCGGACAGCGAGGAGCCCTCCTACACCGAAGGTACGTAACGCAGCGCTTGCGTTCGCCCCCGATGGTTCTCTCTATTTTCTCTGGACGGCCGGTGGATAAAAATCGATTTCAAACAACGGCACAAACTTTGTCGCTTTAATTCTATACTTCGATTTTTAACGTGGCGTCACAAGGTCACGCACAAAAAAGGAGAGGTAAGGCAGACTCCAAGAGAGAAGCGTAAAAGTGGGAGCTGCAGTGACGTCGCAGCTTCCTATTGGAGTCTGCCTTCCCCCTTCCTTTTTCGTGCGTGACCTTGTGATGCCACGTTAAAAAAATGAATTATAACTTTTGGAATATTCGAAAGGTCTGAAAATTCAATTCAATCACTTTTTCGTGCCGTTCCTTGTTTCCCCCTTGTAAACAAATAAAAAATCGAGCTTTTTTGACATTTTTTGATAAATTGCAATAATTTCTAGCAGAAATGATGCAAAAACTACTAGTTTATTCAAAAAAATTGTAAACGATCTTATTTAAAACACTGATTTTATAGAACAGATTTTTTTACAAAAAAGCTTATCACCAATATTGTGATTTTGCAATGTTGTTTTTGCACTTTTCGAAAATATAAGTCGCCTGTAAAGGCCCATTCACAATGCAAACGTAAACATAAGCACAGCGCATGTACATAAACATTAACATAAATGATAGAAAGTAGTATTCACAATGTCTTACATAAACCTAAACAAAATAAGACTTTCTATTAGCTTTGAGACATTCTGGTTTACTATTGGTTGGATGTGAGAATCGATTTTAAGGTATCGACTGTGTCCATAGCCCATATGGCGTTAGTTATTCTATCGGCTTCGCTCCAATTTCGATTCTCGATTTTGCGTTACCGTTCTGTGATTGGTTCATTTCTTATATCTTACTTAAGCATAAGCATAGAAGCTTGAAGCTTGCTCATGTTATGCTTATGCGAACGCATTGTGCAAGTCCGCTTATGAACGTCCTGACGTCCTAACTTTTATGTTAACGCCATGCTTATGTTTATGTTTGCATTGTAAATGGGCCTTTATAGAACGAGCACATCTTTTTTACCAACCTTTGATACTATACGAGGGGAAAATTGGGAGTCGGTTTTTCAGAAAATAATTGGTTTAAAATTTTCTATATTTCACGCAAATTTATCCGGAAATTACTCATCTTTTCGAAAAATTGTACTTGACGTAATTTCTATATCTATCTTGGAAGAACATATTTTATTGAGGAAAATTCTCTATCTTCAATATTATATAAGACTCCGACAAACATTTTGAAATGGAATTTTCGAAAACTCAAGGATATCAGCGAAAATTATATCTGCGCAGTCTTTTACGCCACCCGATGACGTTTAATCCAGACAATTGGAGCTTTTGAGAAAATTGATAATGCTGTTGAGAATTAATGAAAAGTATCCCGCCTCATCAATAGATCACTCTCAAAATCTAAGGGCCTTGAGTTCCTTCAAATCTATCGGGGAGTACCAATTCCGAAGAAAATCATCTGACCGGTTTTGGTATTAGTGTTAACCACAGACAGACTGAAATTTTGCTGTCAATCGATTTTTCGGCATCAAGAGCCCACAAAACATGGATTTTGATACGCACTGTTAGAGGAAGCAATCTCCTATACACAGGAACAAGATTTGTCTCCTTTTTCATTTTCAGGGCTTGGCAATAAGATTTTTCCTGTCGAAAATTCGCCATTTCCGGTGCACAATTACAATAATTTTCCTTCTTTCGAAGTAAGGCGGGAAAGTCAACCCTGGTGCGTACCATTTGGTAGTGGTTTTGAAACACTGATCCTTTTTTTTATCAAATGCTCATCATTTTTCCTTCATATGAATTTCTGCTGTATTTATATTGAATTTCAGGATATTTGGAGTGTGTTTACCTGAAGGATAATTGGGAAGTGTTAAGCATTTTTGTTCTCCCATCTGGCAAAATGTGAGGGTTGTAGCGCCCGGGGCAGAAATGAGTAATGATCGACCCAGAGAATCCAGCAAAAAATCTTCATGCCTTAAACGCTCTGAACTAGCACGCTTTGTTCCCCTCTTCCTGCCCAACCACTATCACCGTCAAAGGCAATATAAGATTAAATCTTCTTGAATTTAAGCTCTGAAAATTATCGATGTAACACGAATTTTATTTTAGTTGTGACATTGAAATACAGTTATTCACAAATATTCCAATTTAAACAATAGATGAAACTAATTACATAATGATATGCAAATGAAGATACTATAAAGACTCAGGCCCATTAATAAATGAATAGAACAATCAGTAAATAATTTACAATTAAACAATTTATCAACGTAATTTAAGAATTTAGAAATACTTTTCCCCCATTCATCACATTTACCTTTTGACTGGTTTTTAACAATTTATATGTAAAATTAAAATTAAAAATCAACCATATTCAGGTAGATTTTCATTCGCCTATTGTGGATTCACTTTCAAGTGTCAACAGTAGTTTTTATACGTTTTACCCTTCTGTTATACACTTACTTGTTTGTTGTGGTTCCTGCAGAATGCTTGCACTTTCTGTTGATTCCATTCAGATGTAGGTTTTTCATTTGTTTCCACGCTTGTTAGTGGTCACAATGTTGTGATCACAATGATTTTTATCTCTAGAGCAGAACTGCGCAACGAGCTGGATTCAGAGCATCGTTGCTCGGAAAATCCTCAGGACATCGTCAAGACCACTTCCTCCCCTCACTCCTAGCCCCTTCCTTTCACCCTTTTTCCCACTTGAGGCGACGCTCCACTTGATCATCGCAATGGCATTATTCGGATTCGATTCGGAAATCCCACTCGCGAGACATGCAGTATTGCAACACATCGCGTTTGTAGTGCAGCAGACCGCCCTATAGGAGAATGGGGAAGGGGGAGCGGGGAGGGGAAGGATGTGGCCCTGGTGATGCCCTAAGCATATACCTGGCCACAATGCCGGAAATGCAGCTCATAGGGCAACCTTAGACGTTTTGGATATTATCTACATGCCGTCATTAACATCAGCAAGTTATTAAATCAACAAGTCATTAATCAGACGTGGAGCCATTGTGCCCCATTTGCGAGCGTGGATTGAGCACGATGGGCATTTGAGTGTTTTGAAAATTCGATGCCCTCGAAAAGTCATACGCTTTGCGAAATGCCATGATATTTCGTACATGGCGAAATTTTAACATGGTTTACGTAATTTTAAAGAATAGTAAATAATAGCGAGGAGAAATAAGAGCTCATAAGATTATAGCCTAGTTTAGGAAGTGATTATTTTGTCTGCATGTAGATATTGGTAGATTAAGGAGAATGAAAACAATGTTTTAGCGTGTTAACAAAAACTTGTTAATTACATACAATTTTTTTGCTCCCTTTAATTATTTCGATTTCATTTCATTTCGTAATATGAAAATCGTTAGTTTTAAGTATTTTTGGTATAGTCCAATATGAGGATTTTAAAAGATGTCCTATTGATATAATCGTTTACTACTTTAACTTGCGTAAAAGAACAGCAAAAATAAATCAATTGCGATAAGTTAAGCACATCAAGGTCGCGAGAGAGATTAGCAGTCGCATGGGCAAGTGGCTTGGCGCTGAGCCTCTCAGCGTCTGAGCGAAGGTCGTTTGCATTGGGATGCGGCGAACTCACACTTCCGCGACTCGTGTAATGAAAATGCATTGTTTCAGTCAGGGTCACGATGCCGACTTCTCATCCGACAATGGAGACGGTAGTGGGAGTATCAATGTGATTGAGGAAACTTTATCGCATACGCCCAATAACGAAGTAGGAAAAAGATAATGCGTTTAATTGTACGGTGCCAAAACGAAATCATATTTAATATTTTACTTGCACCTACAATAGAATTTGCTAGAAAACGAAATGGTACGAAATATGGGATAACATCTCCAAGTATTAGACGCATTGTTGGCGAAATGAAACAGAACATTTGAATTGTCAGAACAGTAATTGGTAATCATGTCTGATCTATAAAACAAATGTATTCGCTGATTTTTTACGTTATTCAGGAATAAATATTTTCTTTGTCGTGTGATCTGCCCCATTTCTCCTTGTTATGTTTCTGTTTACGTTCTCTTTGATTGAGTGGTCTGAAGTCGGAGATATTTATTTCCATGCAGTAGAAAGGAAGACACTATAAAAATATGCAGGTGAGAGGATTTCAGGGAACAAATAATTGCGCTTGTTGCATTGCAATTCTCTTGCTTTTATGAAATTCGGTAATTAAATGACGGAACCGGGAGACATTGTTTCTGAGAAGCTTACTCGAAGCCTTAAGTGAGAAACTTCAGGTCAATTGACACTCTTGTCTTTGCCGGAACTCCATATTAAACACTTGCTTCTGATTTTTTCCCTTTTTTTTGTTTGAACGTCGCGTTAACATCTAGGTCATAAGCGATCACTATTGGATTTAACGTTATGGTAACAATGAAGACGGCATGATAAGTGATGATAGGGAGGGAAAGGACGAACAGACCGAGGCGGGACTCGAACCCCCGATCCTTCAGTTCGAGATCGCTGCGACACTACTGCCTTAACGTTCTCGGCCATTCGGATGACAGAATTTGATTTACTCAATCACGATTGCCGCATACACATCTTCATGAAATTTTGTAGCAAATATTGCGCCATACCTTCATTATTTTCGTCCATTATATTTCGTATAATGAGAAATATATGTAACTAAATTACAATTAATTGACACATACATAGTATTGCAATAATTGAAGTTGCTCTATCATTATAATATTCAATGATGATTCGTTTGAACAAATATCTCTCAGTTGGTAGTGAAATAAACTCATAATTGGAATTGTTATATTTCCTATAGTTTTTAGGGTTTTTAAATAATTTAACATGAATAAAAATTCTGGATACCATGTGTAGGCAAGATAAACTACCAAATGTATTCCTCCCAAACAAAACAAAATAAAACAAAGAACTCATGTGGACGTCACACTCGATAGCAATTTCGATTGAGTAATCTCTCTGTA